CACTGGGTGACCTTGGCAAGTCACAGTCTCTCAGCCTCGGAGGATGTCCAGGGCAAACCCCCTCTAAAGAAACCTGCCAAGAAAACCTTATGATAGGGTCACCTTAAATTGGAAACAACTTGAAGGCACACAACACACACACACACACACACACACACAGGGCACTAGAAGTGAAGATTACTTATCTCCAGAAGCAATGATGTCTACACTGAAGCCATCATCCTTTGGACATATCATGAGATGATGTGACTCACTGGAAAAGACTCTAATGCTTGGTCAAGATGGCAAGAGTGATTAATGAGAAAGAGCCACAAAAATCAGGAGATGCTGCAGCGGCTTGCTTTTGCCTGAGACTACTGGGAAGGCAAGATTTCACTCTCTCTTCTCCTCTTTCCCCCTCTTGAGTTATTTTTTTTAAAAAAATATTGCCATAAAAGCAAACAAACAAACAAACAAACCATATTATTACATTTTACAAACTTCCGGTCACTCATCTTATTTACATAGATCTTAATCACTCTTCATCCTAATCGATCAGCTATGCTATATATTCAATATATTGAATACATTCTGCATTGTGTTTTACCGAGACCTCAATTCCTTCATGTTGATCTTATATTCTCTCTTCTTTCATTTCCAATCTCTTTTCATCCTTTCCACCTTCTATTTTTCCTTCCTTAATCCTCCTTATTCTCCTTCACTTCCTCTCCTGTAATCCTTCCACTAACTCTCTCCCTTCCTCTTATTATACTTCCATTTTCACATCCTCGCTGCTGAGTTGATTGATTGCAAGCTACTTTTTGCCCTTGGAACTCACTTTGCAGCATTTGAAGTGAGCTGAGGACAAAAGTGGGAGGAGGAGAGAAAGAAACCAGGACATTTTAAAAACAGCTGGAAAAGTGGGGTGACAAAAGAGTCACTGGGACTATCCCTGCCAAATTGGGACCATTGGGGTACGTGTTCTTATTTAACTCCAAGATCCAACTATTGGGATTAAAGATGCCTCATCCAATCTTAATGTTGATTCAGCTTCTGCAAATGAAATTCTACAAACTAGGACATGAGTGAGACTGGGGAGGATTTTGACTCGGTGGGCCATTTATATCTCAGAATCCAGGTGGCACAGGTTCCCCATCTTCATTACTGGAATTTTCTTGATGGTATATTTAAATAAATGCATGCTAATGAAGACAGATGCAGCAAAGGCTGCCATGCCAAGGAAGCAATTCTGCACGAAGCCTGGGAATAGGAGCCAAACCGGAATTCAGTCAGATGTAACGCTTTCTCATTCTGAGCCGGGGAGGATCAGAGGCGGGTGTCTTCTCATCACTGAGAATCCTTTCTCTGCAAGAAGAAGGCGGACTTAATTAAACTCAGCTTCCATATTTCAGCAGCTGCCGTTGCATCGCTCTGTGAGTCGGGCAAGTCTGAGTGCTTTTGCAAACTCCATTGTCTTGAAAAGCTTCTTGGGGCCTTGAATCCCCCAGGGTTTTGGCTGGAGGTTGATAGATTGTGATTTGTTAGCAGATGCTTTAAGCCAGTAACCTTGGGCTTTGGAGCTTCAGGTTCAGGGTTTAATGCTGGCATCGAAGAGAAGGAGCACGCAGCACATATGTCCATGTTTTAGTGAAGCTTTCAAATCTGATGGGATTGTTGCAATTCATTGGGGATGGGCAAAGCATAGAGACCATGGACTGCATGTAGGCACATAGTACCGTTTCTGAGGCCCTTGGGACCTTGGGATGCTGTTTTTGGGGAGCAAAATTACCCCCCCATTCAAGGTCATCCAAAAAAAAAAAAAGGTATCTTGTACCTGTCATTCAAAACCTTCACATGTATACACCTCATGCAAAGTATAGAGGCCATGGACTGCATGCAGGTACACAACACCTAAGGTAGATACCTTTAGAAAATGCATTAAAAAGTATACACCTGCTCAGTTGCAAACTGCATTGAACTCAGTTTTACAGCAAATGAAGCAAGTTGAGCTCAAAGGGGGAAAGTGGGAGGAGAGAGAAACTGGGATATTTTAAAAGTAGCTAGAAAAGTATGGATGGAAGAGGATTCTTCAGGAGTGTCCCTGGCAAATCAGGACCATTGAAGGCATGCTGCTTCTCTCATTGTATCCTCCACATTAATCCTCCAGTTATGTCTTATTTTGCTGATGTTGGTGCCAAATGAGCAGAAAACAGAACAAGGCAAGACTTAAAATATTTTTCATTCAACATAAGCAGCCCTTGCAGCTATCTTTCCAAAAGTAGACAGCTTCAGGATATCTTTTTGACACACTCCCAAATTTTGCAGATTTCCTCATTAGGGCCATTTCTGTCCCTTTTAGCATAGTCATAGCGATTGTCCCCAGGGGAGAAAAGTGGAGGATAAATGGCTCTTTTAAAAAGTAAAAAATAAAATAACGCCAAACTGTAAAGGCTTTTCTTGCAGAAACTTCCCTGCACCTTTTCTTCTGAAACTTCCCAGTCACGATTCCCTGTGAAGGAGCAACTATACCAGCAATTTTCCTCAAATCCTGCCAAGAAATAAAGACACTGCAGTTCCCAAGTCAACAAATGCACAGAACTCCCTGCCTTTGTTTGAAAATTGCAAATTTCATTCATTTCAGACAAACAGGGGGAAAAGATATAGCTCTTTTTCCTATTTTGAATAATTGTCAAAAGAAGGCATGGTGATTTGGATCAGATCAGGGCTGCATTTATACTGTAGCAATAATAAAGTTTGACACCATTTTGAGTGTTGTAGCTCCATCCTATGGAACCTTGGGATTTCTAGTTTTACATTCTTCTCTGCCAAAGCATGGCAATGACTCACGAAACTACAGACCCCAGGATTCTGTAGGATGGCACCATGGCAGTTAAATTGGGGTCAAACTGCATTATTTCTAGTGTATAGATGCACCCTAGGAGATCTCCAGAGAATCCGTGCCAAATTTGTTGGTGCTGAAACACCAAATCAAGCACCTTGTGGCCTATATATACATATATATATATATATATATATATATATATATATATATATATATATATATATATATATACACACACACACACACATATATATATACATATACAGAGAGAGAGCACAGTTTAAATGGCAACATTTCTCTGGAAGATTGTTTGTATTCCTAATTAAAAGCTAAAGGTTGTATTTCAGCTGGCAGAAGATCTCTTTGGTTAAAGCTGAAAGCCTTTTGCAAATTGAACCTAGGCAGCTGGAAGTAAGGATGATGGAGTTAATGGTGCTATACTCCCTCGGGGAACTGTTCATAGGATTGCAATCTTGCTAATCTTAATAAAGTTCAGTATTGTGCTCACTTGTGCTGCTGCCCTTGTATTTGTGTACATGTTGTCATTATGAGCTCTGGCAGTTTCAAAATTTCTTTTAATGTCACTGAACGTAAGTAATGGATTTCAAGGACCTGAACAAAGAAGCTTCTACATTTTGACAAAGCTCAGAAGCAACTAGGAACAGGTAACAAGTTAGCTGTAGTTAATTCCATTCCCCCAACAACTGTTGGAATCCCATTAGAGCTGGTGAGGAAGTAATTTCAGGCCTTTTGCAGTGTAATTGTAATTTTTAGGCCAGAATCTCATTGGCATCTTACAAATATATAAATTTCCCTAAAGAAACAGTTGGATAATTTGGTCCAATGTAGGACATCTACATCTAGGAGCAAGAAGAAATAAAAAGACACTGGAGGCAATACACAGAAGAGTTATAC